GGATGGATTGCTGCAGACCCCACCCACCCAGGCAACAGTCTGTTTGTGCCTCTTCCCTCCAGGAAAAGGTACAGGAATATAAAGACTAAAACAAACAGACTGAGACACAGCTTCTTCCCCAGAGCTGTGAAATCAATCACCCACCTAACCCCTAGTCACACAACACAACCTCCCCCCATGGACAAACACAGAACACTGGACCTCACACCTCTTCCTAAAGACTGAGATTTGCACTGAGCTGCACCTTATAATGTTACTACACTCTTGATGCTAACATGCTGCTGACCTCATTAGGTCCCATCCCTTTTTATTTGTTCATATTTTTATATTGACTTATACAATTGTGTGTTATGTAAATAATATGTCTGTCTTTTAAGCCGAGAGCTGCCGAAAAAAAATTCATTGTGCTATGCATAATGACAATAAAGCTTCTTGACTTGACTTGACTTGACTTGACTTGACTTGACTTGACTTGACTTGACTTGACTTGACATTCATTCCTGGCTTTCTTATTGTTGCCTCTGGTATCATTCTTTCTTCACTTCCACTTTGAGAAAAACTGATGGTCTAACAGTTCTCAAACGAATCTCTCCTGGATTAAACACAGACATTTCTGGGTCAGAAAGTGTCACCATGCGCCGAGTGTATCTACCTTGTCATTCCGGTTCAAACACTCAGGAGACGGGCTCTCAACATCACCATCAGCCATCTCTTCCTCATCGCTAACTTCATCTGTCAGGATTTCATCAGGACAGACTTCTAGTCCACCAATCTTCTTGGCTTTCAGCAAAATCTTCCCCTTCAGTTCCTGTAATGAACACCAATATCCAGGCATACAATCATGAAAGCAACACAGTGTACCTACACACTGTGTGTAAAGTCCACTTGCCCTTTTTCATCTGCACTATCATCCTGTCCATTTTAAAGTGTAAATGAGAAAATTCAAAATTTTCATTTGATCCAGATTCAGAACGAAAAAAATCCTGACTGTCAGTAGATGATGCTGAATGGCTGCTGGGATGCAGGACAGAGCAGCAGAACAAACTGACAGGAAACTCAGATGTCACTATTATTTGTCTTCAGTACCCAGACTGCTCATGAGGGTTGTCCATCTTCTTGCACTTTGCCGTCTGCTAACTAAATGCAGCCATGTACTGCTATTTAATTGGCAAAATCCTCAATAGAATTCCACACAGCATTTATCTACCATTACTTCAAGTTAGCATTGATTGTTCTAAGTGCTCTAATGGAAAAAAGTTCTGAAGTTATTGCTTTTAGAACTAGGTGGAAGATGGATAACAAGACACAGATGGACCATTAATTTTTAAAATGTCTCTGTATTATTGATATGTAAGCTTCCTTCAGATAAAGCAGGGTAAAGTTTAATAGTAACTCAGAGTAGAATGTTTACTGAAACTTCATGTCAGTCTTTAAAACATTACTGTTACTCAGTATATGTCCTGCCATTAAATGTACTGTAACATAACCATAAAATAATTAAAAATGAAAAAAAAAGTTTACTTTAATATGGAAGTATACAAATAGCGGTGTATTTGAACACCGTGCCAGTGACTCGGTGAGGCTAATAGCTAATGTTAGCATACTTTCAGTGACAACATGTTGTTTTGAAGGTGCAGTGTTTACTGTGGTCCATTTTAGTTTAGTGTGTTAGCATGCTAACATTTTCAATTAGCACTAAACAAAGTAGAGCTGTGTTGTTCAGCATTTCAAAGGTTTTGCAGGCATTAGGTCACAAACCAAAGAATTAGACAGACTGAAATTATGATGATGCTATATTACCAGTTACATTATATTTAATTCTGCAGGGATCATCAATATTGGTATAAAATGTTGTATCAATCCATCCAAAAGTTGTCAAGATATTTCAGTTGGACCAGAGTGGCAGACTAACCCACCAACAGCCTGTTTTGACAAATCTACAATCTGGTGCAGACATTCAAGCACTGTTTGAACTTGAGACATCTCCTGACGTCATCTAGCATCATCAGCAGGTCAGAACTTGTCCAGTACTTTTTATTTACAATGTACAGCCTCTCAGTGTCACTACGGTGGCTGTAGTTGACTCTTATTCTAACAGATACCTAGAAATTACAAATAAATTTAGGAGTTGACTGACTGTCAAGACAAAGCATTTTGAAAATTGTAAGCATTCTGTTTTTAAAGGAAAAAATGTCAGATAATAAACTGATTTAATAAAGTGAGTTATCTATCTAAATACATATCAAATTAATAGATGTCCTTACACAATGTCATTGCTGCATTTGTAGCATTTGTGTTCTTTGTACATGCTTCACAGTAGGTTAAAAGGAAAAATTTACTCTGGCATGTCTCATCTTAAGAAGTGCACTTTAGATAAAAACTGACAAAAACCCAAACAGATTCTAACCTGTGGAGAAGGAAGCTGTTGCGGGACCTGTCCATTCAGCAGGGTGGTCAACAGTGTGTCACCCAAGATCTGACGAAGGTGCTCAGCCATGACTGTCTGCTGCTCTACACTGCAGTGATTCTCAAGGGACAGGATGACTGGAAAGTCTGATGTCTGTCAAACAGGGGGAAGAAAAGTCTCAAAATGAACAAGTTGATAGTTCGTTGTCCTACACTGAAATTTTGTCAGATCTAGCAAACACAATGGAAAATTACATTACAAGTGTTATAACTGTATTGCATTTAGTTTCCATTCATTTCCATTATATCTTCCTAAAATCGAGTAGGAGCATTTTACTAGGATCAAATGGAGAAGTGGAGAGACATGAGTTCCTGATTGTTTCCCATGTAGGTTGGTCAGAAGGGTGAATGAATGAACCAACCTGTAGCAAATAATCAAATGGTGCTGCCCACCTTGAAGGCATATTCTCTGAGTGTAGAAATGACATCTTTAAAGAGAATCTTGGATGTCAGAGTGTGACCATGATACACAACAGGCTCTCCGTCACTGCCATCCCAGCAGTCCACCTCTACACACCGGCAGCCTCTTTTCAGAGCCCTGTACACACACACACACACACACACACAAATATATGCTCTAACCATTCTTTAAGTAAGTATTTTTAGTTAAACATAAAATATCACTTTAATGTTACACTTCTATCTATACATTTGCAATAAAAGCTGCATCTTTTACTCTCCCGGTCTAAAACAAAGCCTCATACAAAGATAAAACCTAGTGACTTGTAGAAAGTGTAATGAAATTCTTGTATCTCTTATCACTATGAAAATGGTTTATAGATCTTTTCCAGGTTTTGTTTCAGTCTTGTCCTGTGTGTTGTGTGTGCCGTGGTCCTCACTGGATGTACGCCTCCAGGCTGCTCTGTCCCCGCAGCTGGTTCTCCAGGAGGTAAGTGTTGTGTGAGGAGGAGATGAAGTAGTGGCTGAGTGGCTGGCTCATGTCCTGGTATAGGTCACAATGCTCAGGTTTAAATATAGAGCCGTGCCGGGAGCACAGGTACATCTGGAAGCCGTCAAGCGACATGGCGCCTTGCTTCTTGGCTGTACAGATGGTATAGATATAGGTGGAATTGGCATAAGAGCACAATATGGGTTTATTTGGCCACAGCAATGTTGATAGATTTTCAAATAAGGAATTTCTGACATTTTTGCACTCTACCATGACTGAAAACATTATTTTATTTCAGATGCACAGATCAAAAGGCAGCACAGCTGGCATGGTTTATATCTTTGCTGACATGCTGGACTGGAAAGAAAGGCACACACTCCGATTGTGTGCTATGTTTTGCAAGTATTAAGTCACAAAGACCTTCAGGTTTTAAGGCCATGCTAACAATGTGACTCCATAGATGGCAGAGATAGCCTGTCAGTTAAAATGTTTTCCCACTGCCACCAGAGGCCTTCCCATATCCAGTCCTGCTGGCCAGCTATTGGCCCAGGTTGCTTGGCCCCAGTACATGTTTGTGTTTCCATTGCACAGTGTTTTGGCCTGATCTGTACTGCCCACTCAGCTGGTTCTACACATGTGCAAAAAAGCAATTTACGGCAGTGTTTTATCACCTTTAGCAGAACAGACATCAACAACAGACATGCAACAGAGCAACCATGGTTTCAGCAACCACAGTTATTGTATTTTTATTTCTTCATAATGAGCTGCCATCTCCTACTTCTTTCTTTCTTTCTTTTTAAATAGGGTGGGTCTCATTTTCTGGCTAAGACATTTCCTGTAGCTCAAGTTATCTCTGTAGTGATGTAGATGGCTGAGCTGGGGATGGAGTAGCATGCTTTGGGACCTGTTTCTGAGCAGGGCCAGATATCATTCTCTTCAGCCTGGATTCAGCACAGGCACGGCCCATTTCTAAGGCAATTGAAACATGCAAACACTGGTACGGTATGGGTACAAGACAGTTTCTGGCAGTAGTGGAAAGATACATTAGTTGGTCTGTCAGCCTGCCGCTCTAGTTCAGACTAAAATATCTCAACAACTTTTGTATGCATTGCTATGAAAATCTGTGTAGACATTCGGAGTCCCTAGTGGACAAATCCAGCATACTGTAATGATTCTCTGACTTTTCATTTAGCACCACCAGCAGGTAGACATAATTGATTTTAAATTAAATATCTTGACAACTACTGGGTGGATTGCTATGAAATTTGCTATAGATATTCAAGGTCCCTTGCAGATAACGCTAACATTTTGTTAATCTCATAAAACAATGACATTCCTCAGCTGTACTTTGTGTTTAGTACCACTTAGCAAATGTTAATGGGATATTTATTATTGTGAACTTGGAAATATTATCAGCAAAACATCATGCTCCTAGTTTTGTTACTGTGAGCATGTTGTTGTTTTTAGGATTTAAAAATAATTGCTGTACCTAAGCACAGAATCATTAAGGTACCTGTAGATTCTTGGTCTTGTTAGTGAAAAGACAATACAAAGACTTTCTTCTTTACACCCATAATCTGAGACTGAAACTTTACTGTGAATACAACTGTGCAGATTTCAGATGTAAAGATGGGGATGAGGTAACATGTTTTAGCAAGTGGTGACATCTTGCAAGTGGGCATTCAAGCCTACAGAAAGAGTTGTCCAATCAAATTTGAATCAATGGTTAATGCATAACACTCTAAAAGTATCTTGCATAATAATCAAAGGTTGAAATTTAGAACCTAGATATTTTCAATAAGCACATCAATTCAGCACTCCAGATACAAAAGGGTCAGGCATGAGGTAGAAAGTCAGCCTACCTGTCCTACTTGTCATACATTACAAATAAACATTTGTGTATAAAGGCCTACTCCATATTGGAGATGTATGAGGTAGGTATTAATCATAAAAGGTACTAAAACAAAGTCTGACCACTCTCTGACAATTACTGAGAGAATATTAAAATTTATTTATTATATTTAATATTTAAACAACTTATTCCCATTGCTATTATTACATCATAGTTATATGTGGCTATATATTAGTGCTGTTGTGTTTGTCCTCATGTCCTTTGTACCTGATTCAGATGGCTCATAGCAGTCAATCAGGTCCTGGGCATGCTGGGCACTCTGCTCTCCCTCCTGCTGCTCCATCCTCAAGAAGCTTTCCAGCTCATCTAACATTAGCTTCTCTCCATCTCCAGAGTAGTCCTGGAACACCTTCCATACTTCATCCCTCTGAGTCAGTATCTTATAGAAGTGGACAAACTGTTCAATTTCCAAAGAGCCACTCTCTGATTGATCAGCCATCTGGAGGAGATATAGGATGAGCTATGGATTTTTGGGCTGTTTGAAAGACAAGTGTCATGTTCTACCACATGTTGGGAAGAATGTGCAACTCTAACAGGCCATTGACTCCTGTTATTCTTGCTGAATCACTAATTCTGTTCAACAAGAATTTACAATATGCTCAGATGTCAAAATCTTACTGTGAAGAGATGGAGAGCATGTTCTTCATTCATCTCTACGTTCATCATCTTCAGCAGTGTCCGCACTTCTTTGAAAGTCATCTTCCCATCTTTGTTTTTGTCAGCCTTCTGAAACCAGTCCCGGACCCATCTGAGAAGATGCTGAGGAAAACATCAGTTCAAACACCGTGTGGTGAACAAACCCAGATGTAAAGCACTTCAAAAATGTTAATATTTTGACCATGATCCTGAGAGTTCCACTTGAAAATCAGATATCCAGTGATAAAATAATCTTATGGGATGCACAAATGTAAATGTGAATGAATGGTTCCACTTTTAGTCACACTACTTGGAGCTCTGTTCAAAGAACACTGAAGGATGAACTAGTATTTGATATTAGCTGACACTTTTGTTTTTCTAAAATTCCTATTGTAACACACTGATGTACTGCAGTAAAAGGATACTGGTCCTGCCTCTCCTTTTCATCCATCGTTTGAGCCTTGTGTATAAGCTTGCGCAATCCTTGAATCCAGGCCTGGGCCTCCTCTGGTGAGTCGGCCACGAGATCCACGTTGCCTTGGCGACCGTGAAACACCAAGGTGAAACAGAGCTCAGCAGGGAACTCCTCAGCAGTGCTCAGCAGGACCTCGGACTGGTGGCCCTCTCGCACCATCTCCACATCAGTCACTGAGACTAAGACATGTCCAGAGTGTAGTTAAAGAGATGGTTCAGTGTTTGGAGAACTATACAACTTTATTTTTGGATGGATTTCAAATCCTTCTGCATACAGTTTACAAATATGTTGAACAGGAAACCTATATTAGTTTGATAAGTGCTTCTACTACTTTGTAGCCTACTTGTTAGACTGGTGTTAATTTTTTAAGAAATTCCTCTCATAGGTATGTTCCCTGCAGCCCGGGTTTGAGTCAGGGTTGCATCAGGAAGGGCATCCGGCATAAAACATGTGCCAAATGTCAACATGCGAATCGTCAGTGTGTCAATTCGGTGTGGTGACCCCTAACAGGAAAAAGCCGAAGGTGACATTCATTCATACTCTCATAGGTACAGTGGGTATGGAAAGTATTCAG